AACCAGCCCAAACACTCAGATGTGCAACAGCACCACTCACTGGTAGGAGGTTTTTATATAATCATTATAATATAATATATGCAATATAATCAATAAAGGTAAAGGTAAAGGTTCCCTTGCTCGAAAGCCAGTCGAATCCGACTCTAGGGTTGCGGTGCTCATCTCCGTTTCAAAGCCGAAGAGCCAGCGCTGTCCGAAGACGTTTCCGTGGTCATGTGGCCGGCATGACTAAACACCAAGGCGCATGGAACGCTGTTACCTTCCCACCGAAGTGGTACCTATTTATCTACTTGCAATTTCTTGCTTTCGAACTGCTAGGTTGGCAGGAGCTGGAACTAGAGACAGGAGCTCACCCCGTCTTGCGGCACCCGGGTCTTGAACTCCTGAACTACTGACCTTCCACAGCCTGCAGTTCAGCGTCAATAGCTCTAAAACAATGAAATGTTGAGAGCAACTGAATGTCAGTTAAAGGGGAAAGGGAGCGGAATGGAGTGGGGTGGGCTGCGGAGAAAATCTGCCTTCTCAAAGTGTGGGAACTTAGAAAATCCTGGAGATTTTGGGATGGGGTAGAATTTCCAGAAAATTATCCTCCCTGCATGTAATACATATTGGCAAAACCAACATTAACTCAGAAGACATAATGCCAATCTGTCTCCCATTTTTAGCCAAAGGTGAAATATATTTTGATTTACTTTAACAAAACTGTTATGATATGGCCCTGAGTTTAAATATTACAGGACTGAATTGACTGGAATTCAAACAGAGAAACCTTGGACCTGAGAATGTAGCCTTATTGGCTATACTTAGAATGGTCCCCCCCCCTTTCCTACTGGGAACCATTCTGGATCACTTAAGAAGTTTAATAATACACATTTCAACTGCCACAGAATCTATTTCCCATTTGGGAGCAGGATAGAAAAGTTGTGCCAATAATCGTGAGAATTTGTCAGAATCCTCTTGAGATCTTATATATCACTATGTACCATTTCTCTTCTCACGTGAGAGTCTAATAGCTTAGGTTACATGTCTTGAGTTAAGAAAAAAGGGGTTGTAAAATATTGGTATTTTTTAAAACAAACAAACAAAACAAAACTCCAAATTTCTACATGTTCCTATTTAACTAAAAATATATTGAATGGGAATACCAAAATATATTATTAAAAACAAAAGTAAACATAAAATCTTGCTACATTATTTCTTTATTAAGAATACCAACCCAAAACAATTATTTCATTTAACTGTGACAGCTTGCAGCAATTTCATATATATCTTCATATAGTGGCTTTGCAGTTTCTTGAGAATTTCTGCTTTTTTAAAGTTTCTAGTTCTCAAGACTGCTGAGAAAACTTTAGATCATCGCACAGAAATTAAATAAGACCTTGAATGGGTCTTCAGTTGCCAGTGACTAAATTGGTAACATAGGCTGACTTAAATAAAGATGCCGCAGTTATAAACTAGCCTTCAGACCTGTAGTACATTTGAAACAAACGAGCAAGCAAAAAAATCCAAATGTTAGAAGACTTTAAAACTTGAAATGTATTTCTTGAATTTTAGAAATGTTCAACCTTTTTTTCAAGATGCACTTTATAGGCTATTTTTTTTTAAAAAAATGGAAAGCTTATGCCATAATGAATTTCAAAGAAATAATGCTAAGCATAAATATTCAGTGTGGTATA